TTATTTTGAGTCGTGAAAACGATTTATTTCAATCACTATATATTTTTGTAACTGCTAATTCTATTTTTAGTTTAGATTCAATTAATACTTTCATTTATAGCTATAGCTAAACAATTATTGCATAAATTTATAAAAAATTTTCAAACGAAGTATGGATTATTAAAACTTATTCATAGCACTTTCCACATCGATTCACAACTAGTTAAATCGCATGTTCAAATACGAAATAAATTATATCAATTACCTGAATATGGAATAACGTATTTTCATCTCCTACGGCAAAATCAAGTTAAAATTTTTCAAATTATATACGCCAGTTACTATTATTTTTCAATATTTCTGTTAATAATATTCAAATATATTAACGTCATCTATTAAATAATAGTAAATTACACTGAAAAAAAAATTAACTCGAATCAAGAGAAAAATTCTTGAACCAAGAAAATTATAATTTTAAAGAGTGTCATTGTCTTGGATTAAGTATAATTTACTTAATCCAAGAAAAATTTCTATTAAAATTTCATAAAATTGATTCAAGTAAATTTTTTTTTTTTGTGTATATATTTTTAAACCATGTATAAAAGAAAATTAAAACCAAAATCTTGTTACATGTTGTTTACTGTAAAGAATATACGGTATTGTGGAATTATACATTACTTTTTTAAAATTAATTATAGGACGAATGTGCCAATCATAATTATAAATTCATCCCTAAACATTATAATATAAAACAAAAACTTTATAGTGATCGACTTTTGAACTACTCGTCGATAATGTGAAAATTAACTTGGCTCATGTGTATGGCTTCCAAACTACAAATGAGTATACTATTGTTTCTGTTGAATATCTTCTGAAAATATGTATTTTTATAAATGTAAACAATAAAATGTATCTTAATGGCTTGCCTATAAATAACAAAGAATCTGAATAATAAATAAATTCACTGATATGAAAAAATCATTTAATACATGTTTCAAAAAATATTGAAATTCTCGAGCACCTATTGAGACAATATAGGCTTTTAAGATGCTACTGATCCGCTAAAAAGCGAATAGCACCTCCAATTTCGAGGATTAGAATCTCAAATGAGGATTTTGAGGTGCTATTGAGGCGTTAAAAATGACACTTCTAGAAAAAAATAAAAGAAATGAGACCTTAAAGGCGCTATTAAGACGGTAAATTTCGACTCGGGAAGAGTATAGTAGGAGTTTTCTTAACCCTGTAGTAGCATCCTCGTTCACTTGTATATTACCATCCAAACTAGATTACAATCCTATCGAAAGCATAAAGAGCTTACTTCGTTAGAAAAAAAAAGAACAAAAAAAGTTCGAAACATCTATTTTATAATCAAGAATTTCCTGTTTATATAAAAAGTTGATATCTTAATATCAAAATATTTTCATATAAAATAAAAATCTGGAAAACGGTTGACCCTGCAGGCCATCCCTGGAACCCCGTGTAGGAACCGCCAGGCATACAACAATGCCGATGACTGGCCTATTAATGGCTTGCAATCATTAACCGATGGTCAAAATACCATTATTGGGCAATTAATGGTTGATGAGTGGCCCATGGATCTTGTATCGAAATCGCCAATGACACACTTAGTCAGTCATTCAGCCAATGGTTGGCCGATGATCAAATTACACACGCAGAAAAAAATTTTGTTAAGATAACCTAAGATATGTTGTGGTAACAAATGAATTTGTTAACATAGGGATAACAAATCATATGTTAAAATAACAAAATTTAGGTTATAACAAGTTATTGATATGTTATAACAACAAATTAGTTTTGTTACTATAGCAAAATCTTTTAGTTGATTCGACAAAATACTTTAGTTGGTATAACAAATTTTTTTGTTGAAACAGCAAAATTATTCTATTAAAATAACCAAGAGAATTTGTTGGATTAACAAAGGCAATTTGTTGAAGTAATAAAGTGAATTTGTAAAAATAACAATGAGAATTTGTTGGAATATGTATACATTTAAAAAGCAACAAATTAGTTTTGTTATTGCAATAAAACCACTTTGTTACAGCAGCAAAATCACTTGGTAACAGCAACAAAATGATTTTGTTGCAGCAACAAAGTCATTTTGTGATAGCAACAAAATAATTTTGTTAGAGCAACAAATTTATTTTGTGATTTAACAAACTGGTTTGTTAGTACAACTTGAAACTTTTTGTTAATGCAACTAATGGATTTGTTGCTATAAACATAGTCATTTGTTACCAGGACATATTTTTCAGTTATCCCGTCTTTTGTTATTTCAACAAAATCGTTTTATGCGTGCATTAATGGGCCAGTAATATTCGATAACCGGCCCATGGATTCCGTATCAAAAACAATTCTAAATTGCGATATCTTTCGATCGAATCAATCGTTTTTGATGGAACTTGCAGCATTCAACGCAATTTTTTAAACACCCAAAAGATTATTCATTACCTACCAAACAGTTCAACGTAAAATTTTGAAGTTATGATAAAATAACACTTTTTTGGAATTTTTAAAAATTAAACATCTCTCGAACGATTTAACCGATTTTAATGCGGTTCACGGCAATCGACACAGTTTCTTAGCACAAAAAGATTATCTCTTAGTCGCTAAGTAATCCGGACGGAAATTGTGAATTCATCTAAAAAAAATTAGGAAAACTGCATTTATTACGCCTTTGAGCTCTTCGAGCTCAAAAATATAATTTTCGTATCATTTTGAGCTCTCCGAGCTCAAAAATCTGCTAGGTGTTGAATAAAACACTATTTTTCGAATTTTTAAACCACAATAACTTTTGAATGAATGAACTGATTCTTACGTCGTTGATGGCATTCAACGCAATTTTTAAAGCCTCATAAAGAACTTTTAATTGATCAAATTTTGTTTGATCGAACAAGGAATTTCAAAGTAGATCCCAAAAAAACGATTTTTTCGATTTTTTTCGTTAACGATAACTCACGAACGAATTAACCGATTTCGACCGGAATCGCAGCAATCGACGTGTTTTTTTTTATGTTGAGAGCTGATTAGTTTTTGGAATCGATCGGTAAAGCTATTTGAAAGTTATTCCAAAAAAACTACATTTAATAAAATTTTTTTTTGCAGTTTTTTTTTTAGATTTCTCAAAATCTACTGGTTTGAATCGGTCCAAATTATGGTCAAAATCTAAGTTTAATCGAACCTTTTCGAATGGCACCAACTGCGATCAAATCGGTCAAGCCGTTCAAAAGTTATGAGAGGTTTACATACATACACACATACACACACATCATCGCGGAAACATTTGGGAATATATTCCTACGACCTCAAAACGTCAACATCCGTTGGAATCGAATTTCGAAAAACGGGGTAAAACCAAAAACTTCCCTACTTTTGAAAAGTTTCAATTTTCTTAGCGGGAAGTCAAAAAAGATGCTCTCTTTTAATCAAACAAAGAATTTTTAAAGATAATTTCCTTGATTCGTTGACCTTTCGTTTAATACGGTTTTAACAAATTAAGTATTTTAAAATTAATTCACGTATACGTTAGTTACATCTACGTCGTGATAAATATAAAATAAACGAAATGAGCGCTTAAAATTCTCAGAAATTAAAGTTACAGATATGTATCGAAAGAATAGTAGGGGGAAATTATCAGAATAAGCAATTTTACCTGCGGCTAACCACGTTCATCCAGTTGGGGAGTATACTATATGTTTTTCCAACTATATCGAATTCACTATCGACGTATCATATTTATACAATAACGTATTGCCAGTTTTCGATGTATTGCAAATTTAATAGTATAATTGAGACCATAAAATTGATTTATTATAAAAAAGTTTCGACAAGTCAAAACGCTCATATAATGCCATCCTTAGAAACTTTGAAATGTTTATGTTGTTTTTTCGCCTCTTTTGCCTGACAAAGGATTTAATTAGCATAAAAATATATAAGAGTAACACGTATAAGTATTTATCGCTATGGTAGTAATTGCTACGAAGTTTATAGGAATTTGGTAAGTAAATAATATAAAGGAATTGGCGATTTGTATTCTCGCTATACGACTCGAAGGACCGAACGTCTCTGGCAGATGTTAACTGGTTACAGGTTTAATTGTGCGCTCGAGTTCCTTCTGACAGTTACACCGTAGAGTATCTCGGGTGGCCACACGCGCCTTGCGCCTGAATTAACTGCGCGACGAGCCAGTGGACCGTCTGCGTAACGACTCCCGGGGTGTGCCATGCAATTAATATAATTACTTCCGATTAACTGGAGTGAGTCACACAGGAGTTCACCTAACATATTCTTCAATGAACAATAGATATGGAAGACTGATTTGAGATAGCACTATAGATTCTTCTTCATTTATTTTAAGATAACTTAAAGTCATTTTCGTTATTTTATTCTAATATTTTCATTGAATACTTATTTGAATTTAATTTATGAGTATTCTTATTCTTTATCACCTTTCTATCGTGAACAATAAGAACTAACTTACACTCAATGAAAAGACTATTTCATATCACTTGCAGTGAAACTTGAAATTTCAACATCTGTTGAGGCAGTTGGAACGAGACAATTTCAGATCGATTCGATCGACTTCGTCCCGAGGACAGAAATGTTCAATTATCTGCCCACTGAATGAAGTTATATTAGAATGATTTTCAGACCTATTAAAATTGATTTTCTTTATTGGGTCATTGCATGTCAAATCGACCAATAGTTGGAATTGACCCTTTTCGATTTAGACAAATTTTGCTCAGAAGTTTTCTTTTATCATATAACAAAGTTCTGCCAAAGAAAAAAAATAAAAAAATAAAAAAGATATGAAAATTCATAACTTCGCTATTTTTCCAGTTTTTCAATTTTATTTTTGTAATATCTCAAATGCTATTATAGATACAGGAATGGCCTTTCGTTTGTTTGAAAGGGAACACTTGGTGCTATTGAAAAATAAAAATATTTTGGACAAAAATTTTGAAAAATGCCAAATTTTGAATTTCTAAAAATCGTCAAAAATGAAGATATATATATATATATATAGGATACAAAAAACTAAGTCCAGTTACATATGTTAGAGAGTCAATCTTCGGAGCGGAGATCAATTGTATCACCATATAATACAAACTGCGGATAGTTTTTGTCGAAAATATAAGTATCACAATCAAGGTAGGAACTTCATAAAAAGTTACAATTTCATCACACCCTTTACAAAGTTCTGCGTATGCGCGTTTGATGCTATCAAGATCATCCAGAATTAACTCACGCGATCGCGATATTTTACTTTCGGTGGTACCAAGTTTCAATAGCATTGAATTAATACTCTTGAATCGTAATTTTATTATATTTATGAAGATTGTATAATGAATCAATGGCCAAGTTGTTAAAAAATTTGGTAGATTTATGAAGACAATTAGTTTTGATTTGGAAAAAAATTGTCTCACTATGGCTATGGTACTTGTGAAGATAAAGTTGCTAGCGAAGATTACATCATTGGTACAATCGTATTTTATTTCATAATCAGCGCACGTATTTAAGTTTTTATCAAAATTTCGCAGGTGGTTGTTGATGAAATTCATAATTAATTTGTGTCGAGCGGTGATAATAAGTACAATAAAAATAATACAGAACGATGAAAAAAATTATATATATATATATATATATATACGATATAATCGGCATTGTCTCTTCTTTCACTCCCGCAATTCTTTACGGATCTCAATAAACCGTAACATACTCATTCTTAGAACAATTTCTGAGGTTAAGTTTTAAGATGAGCCAAATCTGTCGATTAGTTTAGAAATGAGAGTTTAGCAATAACAATTAAATGCGATATCATATTTAATTTCTGTCAATTGCATCTGAAAGCTTATTTGGTAAGCTTTAATTTGCATACTTATTTATTTTTCCAAATTGAATAGTTTAGGAATGACAGCAATTCAAAAATTTTTAAAAATCGCAAAAATTTTCACTTTTACCGTATTTCCGTGCAATTACAATTGAACGCGATATCCTATCATAATTCTGTAAATTGCATCTGAAAGCTTATTAAATAAACTATAATTTGCATACCTCACTATTAGTCTAGGCCAAAAATTACCTACTTTCTCAGACAGATTTAATGAAATTCTACTTTTGCATTTGTTTTGATGTCATTGTTTTATTGTAATAAAAGTTGTTTATTATTATTATATAAATAAATAATAATATAAAAAATATTTTATTTTTATTCGAGAAATCTACTTCCATTTCGGCTGCTGAATGGTCTTTTTGGGATTAAGATTTGATACAATTTTGAAATTAATCGAAATAAAGTCGGTTTTTTGCATTCGGTTCAAAGATGACCGGCAGAATCGATCGTTTTTCAGATTTCATTTGATCATCTTTCTGTATTTATGAAATTGATTTGAAAACTGCAATAAATTGAAAAATATTTCCTTTTAATAGAAGAAATAAACAGTTAAATATTTAATTGAAGTAATAAATGTTAAAGATAAGACATTTTAATAATTAAATTTAGTAAAAAAAACTACTCAAGTTAAGTATCGATTTTAACAAGTAACCTAATTACTGGAAATTTTTTTTCTCTGTGTATGATAAATAAAATTAAAAATATGAATATAATCTTTTTATATTATCGCCTTAACGTATTTTCTATAAAGAATATCTTTACTATAGATCTAATCTCAATAATATAGAATGGAGACTGTAGATAATTTATAAGCTAAGCCTGTAGCTAAGCTATAAAAAAATCATCAATTTTTCTCGCTTAGGTGATCAAGTTGTTGAAACTGAGCGTGGTCGATGTACATGCAATTTTCACTAGATTACCGCTGCATTATTCAGCTAATTAACTGTTTAGAATGCTCCTACGGTATTTCCGACGTTCTCGAGCCACGAGGGAAAACTGAGGTAGTTTGTCTTAAAACTCTCTTGCTGCCTCAAAATTTTACCCCGCACTTGTGCTCACCGCTGTAATAGTTTGCAAAATTTTATGCATTATAGCTTACCTCACCTCAACTATTGACAATATTTTACCTGAAAACTATGAATATTTAAACAAAATATTTGTTTTAATTTTTAATAATATATAATAATAATAGTAATAATTACAATTGGTATGATCAATTGCTTTCATCTCTAGAGTATTGTACGATTATTATCCTCTACTGGAGAATCGACCCAGGCGCCATCTTCTTTGCGAACAATATATAATCACAGTGGCATTCGAAGCAATTCTCTAGCACTACCCCTTACCTCTGTCTCTCACCCTTTCACTTCTCACGAGAGTTCTCCCGAGCGAGCGGAGAGCTCTCGAAACTTTGAGGTTCTGATGTTGAAGCTACGATTGGAGAAAAGAGAACGAGATGGTACTATGCCCTGGTACTATACGATATACACGATGCAAAGAGAAAAGGGGACGAGAGAGTTCTCAAGGGAGAATAGCAAATCTAACAGAATGACTGAATATTCCTTGCGGGTCGAACTTGGGAGGAAAGTCTAGGCGTAGCCGGAAACCACGCTTCAAGAACTGTAAAGTATAGTGCTAATATAGAACCATCTTTATTACACATCCTACATAGATCTCATTTTTTCGGAGCATGTTGATGAAGTCTATTGGTATATAACACCGGCACACAAAAAAAAACGTTGTCAGTACTTTTAACCGGTTCTATGTCTTTTTTTATCTTTTCTATCTTTATGTATTTTGACGCGCTGAATCCGAATCTAAAGTCAGTTTTACCCGTACAACCTCAAAATTTTGAGTAAAACTGCAGTCACAGCGATGAATAAAATTTTGTGAACCCAGATCAAGTATGATTAGTATGTATTTCAATTCACTGAATCTGAATCTGAACGTTAATTAGCCCGTTGAGCCGTCAAAATTTGAAAAAATAACATTAAATCCAAAAAAATTGCAATAAATCATAAAAAATCGAAATTATCGAGATAAAAAAAATTTTTTGGATTCAGATTGAGTATGATTTTTATCTACTTTGTTTTACTAAAATTGAATCTGAAATCTTGTCCCTTTAACGTTTTAAAATTAAAAAAATCTCAAAAAACCAAAAAATCGGAAAAATTACAGTTATAAATATATGAGAAAAAAATCTATTGAACACGATTGTTAATGACTTGGGTACATTTTCATAGATGGAATATGATCTAAGAATTGAAAAATTGACAAAATTTTAAAACCTTTAAACAATAGCATATGTAAGGAGGAGGTACGAAACCATATTTTCGAATTTCAGACTGTCGTTCATTTGTATCGAATTTTTCTATTTTCAAATGACCTACGCAGTGGGTTCCTTTTACGTTTTCTGTTTTCTTCTGGTGTTCTCTTGTTAGCATCCAGCAAAAATCTGACATCATGTTGATATTCTAATTTACTCGATACCTATACCCTTCATTTCACTTAAGTCTTGATAAAATTATTTTCCTTGTTCTTCGCTGTAGTCTTCAAGATTTTCAGGAAAGTGGTTGACGTGAAAATCCATGAAGTGTAGTTTGAGGTTTATTAAGCAACCTAAGAAAAGGAACCCACTGCTTAGGTCATTTAAAGATAAAAAAATTCGATACAAACGAACGACAGTCTGAAATTCAAAAATATGGTTTCATACCTTCTCCTTACATGCTATTTTTTTGCCCTCCGGGCGAAAAGTGGCAACTTTCGTCCCACTGCGTTAAACAAAGTTGCCGTTTTCCGCCTTCGTCGGACAAAAAAATAGTATTTAGCCCTTAGAAAGTAAAAAAGAAAACCTCAGATCACATGTTTGTCGACCTCGGCTTCGCCTCGGTCAACAATTACATGTGATCTGCGACATTTCTTACTTTCCTGCCCTAAGTGAGAAATGTACTATAAATATATCAATTTTATCTTATATTAAAAAGTGAGTATGATGGAAGCAACTATGTAGTCACTAAAATTCTGTATATCGCAATCGTGTTAGACTTTTTTATCAAGGAAAATCATATTCGACGTATATAGATTTTGCCCTACTTGTACACTGTAAAAAAATTCGGAATAAATGCGGAGTGACGGGAGTGAATGATTTTCAATTGATTCACATCCTCCGGGAGTAAAATTCACTCCGAGACGGATTTAAATTTTATTATTAATAGATTTCACTCCGCTATGAGTGTAATATCGAAATGAGCTTATATCATAAAAAATGTCAATAATTAAGAAATGACATTGTATCTTGTCAACTATTGATATTTTTCAAGATATAAGCTTATTTCGCGATATCACGGTCATCGAGACCTTTTATTTACGAGTACTCACATGAATTTTTTACAGGTTTTATATATTTCACATAAATATATGTATATATAGCTCGAAGAGCTCAAAACTTTGGAATAAATAATTTATATACCGAACGTTTTGAACTCGTAGATAGCGGGAAGTTCTACACTGATGATAGAAGGATTTATTTATATTAAAAAATATTTGTTAATAGTTAACAAATATTTTTAACTATAAATAAATCCTTCTATCAGTTTAGGGATGGCCTACAGGGTCAACCGTTTTCCAAATTTTTTTATCCTATGAAAAGTACATTTAATAACAAAAATTAAAAAAAAAAAACGTCCCAATACGTTAATTTTTGAAAGTAGAAAAGCAATTTTTTCGAAAAATTCATTACTATTTTTGAGTTGGATAAACAAATTGGAAACATTTTGAGAACCTTTTTTCATATAGGGTAAGTAGAAACAGATAAAAAAATTTCAGCCAAATCGAATGGGGTCAGGGTCAAAAGTGGTCGATTTGGCGTAGACTTCCCCATATTACGAATATCTTGGCATGCATTTCAGTAGGGGAGGGTGGAGCAGAGCAACCCCCCAAAGCCGATTATTACTTTTTGTGGTTTTTTAACATCTTATTAGTTTACCTTGGCTCTACGATGAACGAATTTACCAAAATTTTGGAAAAATTCTTGAAAAAAAATTCTTGAAAAAAAATTTTTTTTTCTTGGGCATAACGGCCCCCACCAAAAAATGATAACAAAAAAAAATTTTTTTTCCACCATTAAAAATATTTTGAAAAATATAAAAGTATTTCCTTATAGAATGTGGTTGTTCATGCCATTTTTGGTCAAACTAGAATTTGAATTTACGCGCGCAAGCGCGCGCTTGACTATGGAATTTGCATATATTTTCATGCTTATGATATATTCGACCAATCACGTTACGAATAGTTTGATGCCACATACATTTCATCTCAATTTTATATTAGGATTGACTAGTAGATATGATTCAAGCCCATAGATGGACGCTTTCATCTTCCCTTATTTTCGAGAAATATTCTCTCTTCCAATAAGTTCGATGGATATCCATCGAACTTGAATACTAGTAAAGCTGGAAGCTTGTGGTATTTCCTTATTTTTATCACTCTCTAATAGATTTCATTATCATTCAAAAAATAATTGCTATACCTGATGCACCTCGTTTCTTTCCGCCCCTTACCTCTTTTATTTTCTAAAAAATAATTATAATTATAATGGTTATTCAATTGCCATGAAAATCATCATACTCCTGCTAAATTTAAATTTGAAATTGCCGCTGAAACATAAAAGAACTTGATGAAAGAAAAAATAGAAGTGAAGCTAAG